CACACAACACACACACAACACACATACACACAACACACACAACACACACACACAACACCCAACACACACACAACACACACAATACACAACACACAACACACAACACACACACAACACACACACAATACACAACACACACACACAACACACACATAACACACACACACAACACACACACACACACACTAGGCCCTAATGTAATATTCTGCACATAATTTTAGGTGAATTTCAGACATGTGAGTCCATTTTAGGTTAGGAGCCTCTTGACTAGCCCTGGTCTGAGACACAGGGGGCCTGGGTCCAAGAGTCCCCTGCCTGTGACTTGCACTGAGACCTCAGGCTAATAGGGGCTGGGCTTCAGAGAGGGGAGGAGAGGGGAGGGATGAGAGGAGAGCGAGAAGGAGGAGGGGAGAGGACACAGGGAAAGTAGGGAGAGAGGAGCAGAGACTAGGAGAGCTCAGGAGAAGGATAAGGAGAGGCAGCAGGAATAGAAAGCAGGAGATAAGAGGCAGAGAGACGGAGGCAGAGAAAACAAGAAAAGAAAGGGATGAACGTAGGTAGGTCTCCTAGATCTCGAGACTAATGGAGAGAAAAGGGAGGAAGGAGAAGGTGGCGGAAGAGAGGGGTGGAAGGGGTACTTTAAGGTTCTAAGGGAGCTCAGCTCTCCCTCGGTGGGCTGGGGCGAATCTCAGCTGGTCCCTAGGTCTTGGTTTTCTCCACAGGGACCATGTACCCATCCAGTGGCAGGCTCAGAGGCTGCAGGTTTGTGGGGAGGACTCTCAAGGCCCCCAGCCTGCTCCCAGCGCAGCGCCCCGGCCTGGCCTCCTGTCTTGGCTTCAGAGATGAGACCCCGGGGGGCTGAGGCGAAGCGGGGAAAAGAGGGGTTGGCGTGACCTGGGACCCACATCCCAGCTCCTTTTAAAGTACCCGTGGGCTCCCAAGCCTGCGTCGCCCCGGCTGGCACTGTAGAGGGCTTTCCGCCAGGGGGCGCCCGCAGGTTTCTTTGTTTCTCCTCAAATGCGAGGTTCGCAGTGTGCAGGCTGCTGAAGGCCAAAAGGGACCCCGGCTCCCGGGTCACACATTTCACAGCTGATTTCACTTCCTGTCTGGGATGTGGGGAATCTCACTGTGACACGAACGGGGGCCGTACGGCCTGTTCTAATCTGGGGAGGAGGCATGGTGCCAGATCTCTCCCTCCCAAAGCCACAGGAGCCGACGCACTGCAAGACAGTCCTCCCGCTGACCCGCCCACGCGTCCGGGATTGCTCGACTCCTGACCCCTCCACCCACTCACCCACGAGGAGCATCTGCACGTTGACCCATCCACACACACTCTTCCCTAAGCAGGGCTGTCTTCACCTGGCCCTGTAGCGCGACTGGGCTCCAGCTAGAAGCTCTCCAAGCCCTGGGCGCCCACAGGACCTCACTGGGGTGGGAGACCCACCCACCAAGTCCAGGAACATAGGCAGAGGCTCAAAGGACCCAGCCCACGGGAATACGGAAGGTCAGAGAAACAGAGCATCCGCTGGTGGCCTCATTTGGTGCCAACCTCCAGCTAAGCTGCCCCTTGTTTAACAAGCCAAGATGCCAAAGCTCAGGGAGGCTAAGAAACCAGACCAAAGTCACATCATTAGTTAGGGGACAGAGCAGGGTGCACCTGAAACCCAGGCCTGCCCACTGCCCTCTCATCCCCCTGGGCCTCCCACCGCCCACGTGCCTGTCCACCAGGGCCACTCCTGGAGGACAGCCTAGCTAGCTGGCTCAGACCTGGGTGTGACTGCGGAGTGCCCTGCAGTGTAGACACAGGCCCCCCGCCCCCACTCTGCCCCCGGGGGCACCCACAGGTGGGGTGGGGGTGGGGCTACTCACAAACAGCAGCAGACACTTGTTCTCACGGACGGCCCCACAGCAGCCCAGGAAGCCGAGCAGAAAAAGCAGGCCGCCCATGGCCAGGAGGATGTAGGCGCCCGTGATAAGCAGGGGGTTGGCGGCCACGATCTCCCGGAAGCCGGTGGGGTCCACCATGACCCAGATGCCGATGCCCAGCAGGCAGGCCCCACCCAGCTGCTCTCAGGGTCAGTCAGGAGTGGGGAGAAGAAAGAGGCAGACAGGGGGGTTAGACGCTCCACACACACACGCCGTCTCCCCCGAGTCAGGCCCCACGGTGGAACCGGGGAGCCCCGGGGAGCCCCACAGAACCGGGCAGAAACCCTATTTGCTGCACAAACCAGTGTCCAAGCAATGCTTTTCACGGTTTTGCATTTTTCTGGTTACCCAGACCTCAGGGGCATCCTCTACACCCAACCTCCGATCCACACCCCATCGTGGGCTGCTGGGGACCATGTCCTGGGGAGTTTATCGGCCATTTTTATAGTCTCCTTAAATGTCGGACCTGCAGGATAATGAGGTCACTCGTACAACCCTCTGCTTCCACACTGAGCCCCAGAGGGGGCCATGACTTGCTGAAGGTCACACAGCAAGTTCACGGCAGAGCCAGGGCTGGATCCCAGGCTTCTCTGACACTCACCGAGGCCACGGCACATGTTCTGAGGCCTGTACCATGCTTGGGGCCGGGAAAACGTGGACACAAGCCGTCCACTTTGTCCTCAACAGGAGTTCTCATCAGCGTGGGCTCACCACTCTCAAACCGGCTCCGCGAAAGCCTTCTTGTTTATGTCGTCATGTCCACGGCCCATCTCTCTATGCCTTACTCATCTTTGGAGAAAGGCAGCTTAGTCCAGAGAAAGGGCTGTGCCGCTTGTCAGCTGTGTGACCTTGGGTAAGTGGGTTAACCTCTCTGAGCCCTAGCTTCCTCATGGGTAAAAGAAGATACAAATTCCACACACACACACACCCCCCAAGGTGGCCCCAAGAAATAAAGGACAGAGTGGATAGGAATGTGCTTAGCAAGTTTCAGAAAATATCTGTTCCATTTTCCTTGGGGACGGACAAGGACTGGAAGCAGATCAGGTGGGGAGAAGAACAAAACAGTTTGGCCTTATCCAGATTTGACTGGGGTGAAGTGTCTGAAATCCCTGTGTAGTGGGAGGACCAGAGGTCCCCCGAGGTCCCCCAGAGGCACGAGCCAGCAATGCCAGGCTGCGGCTAAGAGCAAACTGGTGAGCTTTGGGTGTCTGAGAGGGGTCTGTAAGCTGGTGGGCAGAACTGCAAGGCTTGGGGCTCGGAGCAGGAGACAATATTCTTAGGTACAGAGGTAGGGGCAGAGGAGCGGCGGAGAGGCCGGAAGGACCCAGCATTGGTCGGAGAGAAAGGGAAGGCCAACAAGGACTGCTGATGACAGAGTGCCCATGGTCACCCTGTGCTGGACACTGCCTTTCCCCTCCGTCCCTTACAAAAGCTCTGGTAAAAGCTACCTCCCTCCTCATTGCTCTTAAGGTTTTGGGGTTCAACAATTGTGTGCTGAAGGCTGCTTCAAGGGCTCAGACTGAGCTGCCCAAGGGGACATAGCCCCATTGCAGGTGGGGACACTGGAGCTGGCCACCTGAGCGCTCAGGGCCTCTGTGCTTTCAAGTACAGAATCCACAGGCTGAATGCGGCTGGAGCTAAGCTAGCCAGTGCAGCCACATTCCAGCCACTTCCTAATAAACCAATCTTGCTTAGTTTTCAAAAAACCTGTTGAGGTAGGTAATGAAGGGATGAAGATACTGAGGTTCAGAGAGGTGAAATGTGTTTCTGATCACACAGCGGGTAAGATGCAGAGTCGGCTTTGGGTTCAGATTACATCAGGTGGTCACAGCAGCTCAGCCCAGCCAGCTCGGAGGCGTGCAACTGCGCTGGGGCTCAGGGTTGAGTGGGGCTGTCTGGGCTGCCCTCTTCTCCTTCCCCTCCTTCTCTCCCACCCTCCACCAGGGGTCGGATCCCAAGGCAGCAGCCAGGATGAAGGCCCCTACCCTTTGTACAAAACATCTCCCCTGTGACCACGGGCTCTGTGGAGTGGGGCGGGCACCATTGGCGGCCTCTTGTCTGGGAAATTCTGGCTGGCTGGGGAGATTTGCTTCTGGCACTGGCCCCTGTCCTGCCCCCAGGACTCAGCCCGGTGTGACTATTTCTCAGCCACGGTGTGTTCTGCCCACCCAGCAGAGGCCTAGGGAGATCCCAGGCATGCTCCAGCAATACTTACAAATATGAAGAAATTGAAAACAAACATCAGATACTTCACGCAGCTTAGACAGTCGCCTTCCATGGTGTTCTACCTACAAGACAGCAAGCCCCTCAGTTTCCCTGCTGGGGGACCACCTAGAACGAACCCTTGCCCCTCCCCCGTGGGGCTTCCCCGTGGTCAGCCCTGCCCTTGCAGCCCAGTTGGTGGAGGAAGAGGCAGACCGGTAACAATTACCTCTCTCTCGGAGGTAGCTTTTTACCTCGTGGGGCCAGAGTGAGGAGTGAGAACTCGGGGAAGCAAACCTGCCTGGGTTCAAGCCCAGTTCTACCGTTCGTTTGCTGTGTGGCCTTGGGCAAATCACTCTACCTCTCTGAATCTTGCTCTTTCCAACCTGAGAAAGGAGATTAAAAACAGAAGCTTCCTCCCAGCCGTATTGTGAGGATTCACGGAAATAATGCAGTAACATGCTTAGAACGACGTCCAGCAGGTGGCAAGTGTTCAGCAGGGCTGCCTCGAGACAGGGCTTGATTGCAGAGGTGAGCCTTCCATTGGGCAGATGAGCCACCCAGGCTCAGAGCCTTCAGGAACTTGCCAAGGTCATGGAGCAGGATCAGAATCCGGGCCTCACAAACTTCCTGCCGCCCCACACGCCCTCCTGCTTGTAGGACAGCCCAGGGCTATTCCATGGTGCCAGTGGACGAGTGTCACAGGGGAAAGGGGGGGCGGGCACCTACCTAGGGGCCCAAGCCCCCTTCCCGAGGCCAAACCCTCCCCACGCCCTGACTACCTCCCTAGCGAGACCTATGGCATCCCACCTACCTAAGGAGCCTTCCCCGTCTCTGCCTAAAAGTATGCCCCTGGTAGCGAGTCTCTGCATACAATTCTGTTCAGCCAACATTTACTGTGTATCGACTGGGTGCCAAGAACTGGGGCTTGAAGCCAACAAGATGCAGCCCTTCCGCATCCCCAGGGGAAGCAGACAGCAGCATCTGCTCTCACGAGTCAGACCTCAAGCACACGGTCACGTCCATATTCAGTAGTCAGTATTGCCATACTTTCTTCATGACGGCCCGGGGAGCGACTTGGGGCAGGGGTCAGAGGTCCATGGGACAGGTGAGGAAACCAGGCTCACGATGAAAATAGCCTGGCCAACCTCCCCCAGCTGGTAAGGGCCACGGCTGCAGCTCAGCCTGCCCTGAGTCCCTCTCCAGGTGACCCCAGCAGGTGGTCTACGCTTCCGTGACAGGACGTGGTGCAAAGGGTCCTGGGAGTATGTGTTGGACGTGGTCGAGTGTAGGGAAGCTGGTGCTTGGTTACTTTCCACGGTTTTCCATCCTCCCTCGGGAGAGAGCTGGGCTCAGTTTGTGGCAAGGCGTATGTGATTATCAGAGAGATTAAGGGATTTGCCCAGGGCCACAGAGCGTGTAGGAAGCAATGCTAAGATCTAACACCAAAGCCCATGCACTGTGCCTGGTACACGGTGGGCACTCAGCAAATCTGCGCCGTCCCCACCCCAGACCATAACCCGATGCCCTCCCCAGCAAGGAAGGCCTCATAGTCTAAGGAACAAAGGGGCCAGGGCTATGCTCGCCTCCCGCACTCCTGGCTCATTCCACTTGGAGATGACAGGACCAGCCCCGCGCGGCATTTTGGTCAAGGCTAGAGGGTTTTTAAAAGTGCATTTGAATCCATGGGGAGAAAAGCACAGGCAGAACCCGCTGCTGGGGAAGGGCGTGCAGGAAAGGCTGGTGCCTCTCATCTCCTCTTCTTGTGGTTTTTGCTAGTGTGCCAAGCATTGACCTTGGTGCTGGGCAGTGGCCATGGCACCACTCGGGCATCTGGGAGTCCATGAGGAAGGTGCTGGGTCAGGCAGCCAAGGGCCCTGGGGCCCGAGGGCTTCCCTCCTTACATGGCCTGGCTCCTGCTGGCTGCTCGGCTTGGCTGATTGAGCAGGGGACACCCAGGCAGGGCACAGAGTACCCAAGCCAGATGCGCTTTCTTATTTTATTGGGTGGCAGAAACCAAAGCATCAGACCACACAGTGATGAATACAAAGCCACTCCAAAAGAAAGTCAGGGAGTGAACTTGAACCGAGGGCTCCAGGCTCAAAGCCTTTGTCCTTCCGAAGGCGCTTGGCCCAAGGGCTTTTGTTAGATTGGGTGAGAGGAGAAGGGGAACACAGGGTTCCTGGGGTCACCTGGCTGGTTGCCACCCCTGGGAATAATAACATTGAGCATTTAGTAGGTGCAGGGCTCCATCCTCGGCACTAGACATGTATTAACTCACAAAAACCTATGAGATAAGTACAATCATCATCCCAATTTTCTAGAGAAGGAAACTGAGGCAGAGAAAGGCTAGGCGACTTGCCTGAGGTTGCAGCTGGTGAGTGGTGAGGCCGAGATTTGAACCCAGGCAGTCTAATTTGGAAGAACAAAGGAGAGAGAGAGAAAGAGAGAGAGTGTGTGTGTGTGTGTGTGTGTGTGTGTGTGTGTGTGTGACTCTTCTTTCCTTCACTGAGCTGTGGCCTGAGTTTATGAAATGTCATCTGCCTCCAAAGCTAGAATCTGGTGACACCATCCACTCCGTCTCAGGGATCCTTCAAGTGCCTCCAGCCTCAGTCTGGCTCCCGGCCTCCTCCTCTCTCACCCAGATGTGGCCTCAGCCCTGGCCTGGGGTCTCCCTACCTCCAGCCACTCCCCTTCCAGCCACTGCCCCCACAGGGGCCTTTCCACAAGGCACATCTAGCCACATCAGGCCCCTGCTAACCGCCTGGCCTCTACAGGAGACCAGCCACCCCTTAACCGTGGACTGCAAGGGCCTCCAAGACTCCCACGACCACCTTTTGGTACGCTTCTGCCCCATCGACATCAGAGGACAGTCCCCGGAGCTCACTTGGTGACTTGATCCCTTCTGCTCGGACTGCCTTTCTACCTCCTCCCTTCCCACTTAATTCCTGTTCATCCCTCAAGGCATCACCTCTATCCCCGACACCCCCCATCCTGTCCCTGCCTTCCCAAGAGCTCCCACGGCCACTGCTGATCTCCACCCCCGCCTCCCCCACACTGTGTAGGATTACGTCATCAGCCAGTGTTCTGGTGAGCTCCCGGAGGCGTGGGATGGCAGCTGTGCCCTCCTCCGGGGACAGAGCAGGGATTGGTACGTGGTCCGGACTGCATAAAGCCCCACCACCTAGCAAACGTTAATTAAACAGCACGGGCAGGAAGCCTGGCTCGAGGCTAAGGGCTTTGCGTGCATCGCGTCTTTGTGTCCTCTGCACCCCCAGCAGTTAAAAAGAGGGGGCTTGAGGATCCACACAAGCAGAGGGGCTCCCAACCTCCTCCTTTCCTCTCTCTGCTGTGCCCTCTCCAGAGTGAGTACAGGCCCCACGTGACTCCTTCTGATGCCCCATGTGCCTGCCTTTGTCTCCAGATCTTCTTGAGGCCGGAGAGCCTAGAGCTGCCCCGGACAGGCAGGATCAGGAGGACCTGTCCCTTCCTTTGTCCTGGGACCCAACCTCCCAGTGGGCAGTGGGAGGGCTGAGATTCGGTGGGGACCCCCAGGTCTGACCAGCCAGCTGTTTAGCCAGCCTGCCTTCTGATTGGTCCACGCCAGTGCCCACCCATTCTTGACCATCTTGACCCTCACCCTTAGCCGTGGGTCATCTCTGTCTCCTCCATCAGCCCTCAGCCCGGGCTCTCTGCCTCCGGGGCAGCTCCCCAGGATGCCATCTCCATGCCCACCTACCAGCCACACCCCTCCTCTACCTCTAGCCTTCTAGAAGCAGCATCTCACCTGCATCTAAACAGTGGTTCTGAGAACAGGCTCTGGAGTCGAACACACCTGGGCTCCAATCCTGGCTCTTCATCTTTCTACCGCTATGTCTTTGCTAAATGACCCAACCTCTGGGAGCCTCAGTTTCCTCATCTGCAAGAATGGGCATTGAGGGCCCACATCATGCACTGTGGTGAGAAGTCAGTGACTACACCACTGGCCTGGAGCGGGGTGGACAGCCCTTCCCATGGCCACGCCAACCCGGCAGGTGTACGGGCCTCCCTGGGCCGCTGTGCGCCCTGAGCTCAGGACCTCAGGACAGTGGCCTGAACCCTAGGCGCTGCACTCCGGCCCCCTCTCCTTTTGGTACCAGGCCGACTCAACTCCACATGTCTGCTGAGACTCGGCGCCCTTTGGAAACGGGGACGAGGACAGGAAAGAATATTTATTCAGCACTGACTCCTTGCCAGCCACATGCCACCTCCACGAAGCCCTCTTTCAATGACCCCATGTGCCCTCTTTCAATGACCCCATGAAGAGGGAAGCACTGCCCATTGTACAGATAGGGACACTGAGGCTCAGGGAAGGGAAGCGACCTGCCCAACATCCCAGGGCTTATAAGCATGCTTCTCAGCCCACCCCAGATCCTGTGCTCCACCTGGTCCGGGGGCAGCTTTCAGGTAGAGAGAAGGGCAGAAGGAGCACTGGACTGGGAGTCCAGAGCCTGAGTCTCCTGCCCTGTGAGTCACTTCCTCTCTCTGGCCTCAGCATCTTCTTCTGCAAAATGATGGAGCAGTTTGATGACTTGTCAGTTCCTTCCATCAGGCTTGAACCAGATGGGCCGTTGGAGGGCAGAAGGGACTGCCCCACTAAGATGCTGGAAGTCTGCGAGAGGCCAGGCTCTAGCGGCCCCCTCCTCGGCCCACCCAGGCAAAGCTGCTCTCCAGGGCAGGGTCTGGCTTCAGCTGGCTTTGGCTTTGTAGCAATTAAGGGGCATAATAAATACGGCAGCTCATAAACGGGCTACCTGTATTTATTACGTACCACGTTCGTTACCGATTACATCTAATGGGTAGCTTGTGGTGTGCTGGACTCCTGGACAAATGCAGTAAAAGGAGCGTGTCTCTGGGAAGAAGAGCCTCTGACAACCTCAAAGGTGAAGCAGGTAGAAAAATAGATGATGGGAGCTAGAGGGCAGATGGAGATCCAGAGGCCCAATTCCAGCTCCAGGGCGAGGGGTGTGAGTGGAGAGAGGGCGTTGGTTCCTGACCACGGATCGAATCCCAGCCCTGCTAGGCTTCGCTGGTGGCTGGGGGCAAGTTCCTAAACTGCATGCATCTGAGTTTCCTTGTCTTTAAAATTAGTATAAAAATAATGCTTTCCTCATAATGCATGGAAAATAGGGAGCGCAGGGCTTGGCACGTGGCAGCTCTAGCAACAGCTAGTAACTGTTGGCAGATCTTAAATTCTTACCACGGGCCAAGGAACATGCACAATCTCAATCCTCATAAAGCTCCAGGGTAGAGGTAACTTTATCTCCACTTATCAGGCCAGGGAATTGGGGCTCAGAGAGGTGCCATCACTCATTCAAGGTCACACAGCACGGAAGTGCCTCAGCCAGGATTTGAACCCACGTCTGTCTTCATCTGGAGCCACAACTCTTCATCATCATTTTCGATAAGTGCAAATTCCCTCGCCCCATTCATCCATCCTCCTCCACAATGCAGGCCTGTCTTCATACCTCCACTGCTACCTCATTTCTCCCCGTTCAGGGCGATCAGCCTTCTGGGCCATCATCCACCGCCAGGCTGAAGTCACAAGACTGACGCCAGCCCGCTCCACCTGCCACCAGGCGTTTCTGAGTGTGGGACACACCTCCTTAGCCAATCGGCCAGACAAGAAGGACAGACCAGGGGACCCCCCCCAATCCCTGCCTGGATCTGGCTGAGAGCGCCACTCACCCACAGAGCCCTTTGGAAGTTAAGTGAATCACAGCCCAGTTCCCTAATTTACCTCTAAGGAGGGTGGGGACATAGTCAGTCTCTGGAAGGTGGGCTGAGAAGAATCTTGAGACTATGAGGTCCTGTTTCTCAGAAATGATGCTCAAAGGCACTTATGAAGGAGAAATGGAGGTCTCTCTGCTGAAGGGAAATGATACGCCCTCCCTGGGCCCGGGGTGAAAGGCCCACTGGGGTTTGCCCAATCCCTGGAGTTGACAGGGACCTGGAGGGGAGCCTGGCCCCTCCACTTTCCAGCCTCATGACCTCGGACAAACACACAGTTTCCCTGGGCCTCTGCTTTCACGTCTGCAAAATGGGGCCAGGAATGCTGACCTCAGGAAAAAGTGTGGGCTGAAGATCGAATGGGACTAGATGCAGGGCACCTCACGTCACACCTGGCACACGGTGGCTCCGTCCCTCTTCCCTCCCTGCGGCCCCGCCGTGAGGCGGCTCCTCTCCCCTACTCTCTCGGACACCAATACACTGGCCAAGTTCCCCGCGTCAGGAGAGAGGGGAGGACTCTGATGCGGAGGATTTCTGAGTGGGAAGAGTGGTTCTCAAACTGGATTCCCTGAGACTGGCAATCTCCTAAAGCTATTTTCAGGATTGCAAAGAACACCTCAGAAATCATCCACTCGCTCACTACCAGCTGGCTCAAGGGGCAAGTATCTTGGGTTTTGGGGGCAATTAAATCACCCCAGGCTGGGGACCCTGTTTCTTGGGTTGTTCGGAAACTCTAACCCCCACGTATATATGACTGTGCAGTACAAAAAATGCAGGAGAAACTCGAATGTATGCCTAGGAAATGACTTGGTAAAGGCATCACTGTTTGGTAGATAAAATCCTTTAAATCTTGGGGCCCAGAGGGATGAAATGTGGGAGTCAACATTGCAGGCAGAGTCGACTTCATGTGAGTTCAACTCCCCCCATGCTCGGGGAGAGCGTGTAGGGGAGCCGGCTAGGTGCTGAGGTTCCACGCAGGGGTCTGACCCAGGGTGAGCATTGGGGGGGTGGGGTGGGGGCTGCTGCCCTGGATCTCATGGTCTCAAGGCTCCTGTCGTGGTGCCTGTCATGGTGTCCCCTCACCTGGCCAAGTGACGGCTCTGGGCTCACAGACAGGTGTTTCATCGTACAACGTGACCCCCAGATGCAAGCGACTATTCCTCATACAACGAAACCCAGTGGCTCACAGCTTTAAGGGGATTTAAGGGAAACTTCTCTCTGACACTATTGATCGTGTCACTGGTGGTTTAGAAGCTGGTGCTTGTGTAATTTATGACACCAGCATTTTCCATAACAGAAGTTCTCGGTCATAAGCAGGTAGGGCCCCCTCGCTTTGGAAATGAGAAAACAGGCTGAGAAATGGAAAGGGGGTGCGGCCAAGTCAGCAAACCAGTTAGTGATGGATGTGAGCCGAGCACCCTGGTCTTGAAGGCCAGGTCAGGGCCCTGGGAATACACTCCAGGCTTGGTCTTGTGCTTGTTTATGTTGGTAGCACGTCTCTTCCCTTGTTAGAACGCATGCTTCATAAAGGCGGGGACTTGTTTTGTTCACTGCCTTATTCCTTGAGTCCTGAGCAGTGCCTGGCACACAGTGGGTCCTCAATTCATAGGTCTGAATGAATGAATAGTGGGAAAAGAGAAACGGAGACAGAGAACAGTGCAGATCTCACGAATCAGAGAAACAAAGACAGGTCAGGAAGAGAGGGAAAGACGGAGAAAGACAGACAGCAGGAAGTGACGTGGGTCGAGACAGACAGACTGAGAAAGAACTGAGGACGAGGCAGGGCAGTGTCAGGGGAGAGGGCAGAGGTACACAGGGAGAGAGGGGGCGCCAACTGCTGACTTGTCACCTGGGCAGTTCTTTGGGCGTCAGCAGGACAGAATCTCCCGGCCAGAGGGCCTCTTGTATATTCTTTTATTGGCCCAGCTTGTCCTAGAAGGAGAAAATATTCAATTACTATAGGAAGTCAGTAAGGAGCCGCCACGTTCAAGAAGCTGTTTATGAAAACCTGCCCTACGGATGCACACGGGGCAAGTGCCTGGCTAATCTGGGTCCATTAGCGCTAATGAAAAGCTCTCAGCAGCTGGGCCCACTCCAGCTGGGGAGGCCCGCACGGGGGGCCTGCCCTCTGCCCAGATGGCAGCTCCTGGGTCCTCCCAGGAGCTGTGCGGGGAACCACAGTTTGAAGAGACTCTCGGCTTCTGGCACGGGCTTCGTCTGTGCTGACAGACCGCATGTGGCTGAGGCACTGAGAGGGGGCGGCGGGCCTGGTGAGCCACACACTTGGATGCCACCTGGATGTCATCTGGGCATCTGCAGGGAGGCCTCAGCCGGGAGAGTGACAGCAGGGGCGTGTTCCTCAAACCCCCGCCCCAAGGGAGAAATTGGATGCTGGAAAGCGTTGCTTCGCCTCACAGAAGGATTTGCCAGAAGGCTCCTATAGGGAGCCGGAGCCCAGCCGTGGGAATGAGGGCTTGCTTTCAGCCGTCAAATGGGCCCAGATGGAGGCCTGTGTTCTGCCACACCTTTGGGGAAGCCCACGGCTGGGTCCTGCGCTAGGAGGGCCTGGAACAGTGAGGGGCTTGGGCCGCAGGGGGCGTTCTCATTGCGAGGAAGGGGGAGACTTGGGGGTCTCAGGTGCCAGATGAGATTCCTTCCCGTTCATATCAGTGGAGGGGTGGTGGACGAAAGACTCCTCTCCATCCACGCATGCATCTGCTCGGGAGACACGTATTGAGCACCTACTGTGTGCTGGGCGCCGTGTTAGGAACCGGGGATGCATCTAAGCTCACCCTCTGTGTCGGGTGGTGGCGGTGGAGGAGATTGGAGGAAAGAAAGCGATGACGATAGGGCTGGGGACCCGCAAGGAGGAGGACTAACCGTCCATGGGTGTAACTCCACTCCACTGGGGGCAGTTGGGGGGGGTTCTTGGGGAAGGGGCAGCACAGGGGAGCAAGTCTTGAGGAAGCGTGGAGGCGAGGCTGGGCAGGTGGAAAGGCAAGAGAAGGGGCCTCCCTCCTGAGAGCTCGCTGAGGCCCCCCATACCCCTATTTGGCTTAAACACACGCACACGTGGCAGGCTCGTCAATCGCCTGTCTCTGGATCTGCTGCAGAGAGCTTTGGGCTACATGCTCACACGTGAGCTCCCTGAATGCTCACGACACCTGGAAGTAGGGCTCACGGAGGCACGGCTCTTTACCGAGAGGAAGCCAAGCCCGGCGGGGGAAATGGCTTGTCCAGCATCACACAGCTAGGACGCCTGGGAGCTGGAGTGCAAACCCAGAATGGGGATCAGAACGAGCTCTGAGAGAAAGTGCTTTATCCGCCCGTGTGGGATCACACTGCATCCTCACAGCAGCCCTGCTGGGCGGGCTATTGGCCCATTTTACAGAAGGAAACGGAGACTGACCGATATAAATGGCAAAGCTGAGCATCCTCCTGTGATCCCAGGAGATCCCAGGCAAGGCATCCGAAAAGCCGTACTGGGAGCCAAGAAGGGGAGGGGGGCAGATGCCCAGCCCCATCTGGCCTAAACAGTGATGAATCCCGTGAAATCGGCCCTCGGGCTGAGGGGAGGTTCTGTGCACCCTGGCCCCTACAAGGCAGGACACAACCAGCAGGGTGGGCACGAGGAAGTGGGGGGAGCAGGGAGAAACCCCCTGGGTCCAGGTAACGTCCAAGAGGCTCTGGGCTGGAACTTTGTCCAGGGATGACTCACAGGGCGAGAGGAAGCCAACTCAGGCTCCTTTCTAGAGCTAGGGTCTCTGCAGTTAGGGAAAGGAGCCCCAATTCTAGTTCAGGGGCTGTACCCCATGCCTAGCCCCGCCGTGGGGCTCAGGGAAGTGGGGAGGAGTCAGTTTTCTCCTACCCCTGTTTTTCCCCCACCCCAGCCCAGCCCTGTCCAGCATCTCAGGCTGGCAGTTGTCCTGAGTATGATGTGACCCATTTTCCTCTGGACACTGAGGCTGGAACGAGAGGCCCCGGTGGCACACAAGGCCCATCCAGTGACAAGGAGGAGCCACTGAACTCCGTTTGGCACCTGCCCGCCTCCTCTTTACTGGATATCCCTGCCCCATTGTATGCCGGCTCCTGGGCTGAAACGAGCTTACCCCTCTTTGGGGTTCCAACTGCCCTGAACAACCTCCCATCTCTCTTTGTCCTTCCTGTTCCCCCAGTCATGGCCTGGCTCCTGTTTCCTGACCCAGCAAAGATCTGTGTTAAGGGGAAGCTGGCAAAGGGCAGCCGAGGGGATGCCTGCCACATGCACCCCATCTCAGCTGGGACGGCACTTGCCTTGGCCAGCTCCTCTGAGACCTTCTTCTAGAAAGTCACTAACCCTCCCCTGAGATGCCACGTTCTCCTCTGAAAACAGTGATCCTCAATTTCAAAGTCAAATGTGGTTGTAAGAATTCATGATATGGGGGCGCCTGGGTGGCTCAGTCAGTTAAGCATCCGACTCTTGGTTTCAGCTCAGGTCATGATCTCAGGGTCCTGGGATCGAGCCCCAAGTCTGGCTCTGCGCTCAGCCTGGAGTGCGCTTGAGTTTCTCTCTCTTTCCCTCTCCCTCTGCTCCTCTCCCTGCTCATACTCTCTCTCTCAAATAAATACATCTTAAAAAAAAAAAAAACAATTCATGATATGAAGCACATGAAATTAACTGATATGATATGAAAACCCTTGGAAACCTGCAAAGTACTTTTCCCATGGGGAGCTAGTATTACCAGTAACATCACATAGTGGAAATAAGTGGAGTCATCAGTGGAGGAGGGCATGGGGGAGAACCCTGGGCAAATGGCTTGGTCGGGATAGCTACAAACATCTTTCCCCTATGTGGCCCTAAATTCAAGTTAACTGCTACTATTTTGCGATAACCGACTCTAACGATAACTCATAGTACTGCGTGTTAACCATGGAGCAGGCTTTGCTAAGCATCTCTCCTATGTACTCCTCGCCTACGAGGTCGGTACCCTTATTATCCCGTTTTCTATATGAGGCAGCTGAGATTGAGAGAATGTAATGAACTGGCCTGAGTTTATTCACATGGTTAGTCAGACACGGCCACGATTCAGGCATAAGCCAGCTGGATTCCAGATCAGAGCTCCCAACAAGACACCAGCCCACGGAGAGGACACGCGAAAGAGGAAGAGCTATGCCTTGGGCTCCAAAATTTCCAACCCAGGGCTGCTCTATCCTGAATCAGGCAACCAGGCCAACTCCCAGGGAGCCAGCTAGCATCCTCCCCTGTGCCACCTGGAGGCCCCTGGGGGATGACCCAATCCTGCCATCCCTTGACAGATGGGAGCCCTGAGGCCCAGAGAGGGGCAGAGACGGGTGAGGTCACACAGTGCCTTGGGGTTCTCTTGTGCAGGCCCCTGCCTGGGCCAGACAGCTTTATTAACCTTGCCCCTCCCACCGCCCCAGATGGCAGTTCGATCCCATCTGCACAGTGAGGGCCCGGGAGGGGTTCTCTGATTAAGAAGAACAGCTCAGTTCATAAATCACTCCTTTTACTCTCACTGCCCTCGGCTCCCGGGCATACTTTCCGGAGAGAGAGAGGAGGAGGCAGGTGGACACGAGCGATGGAGAAGCCCCATGGGAGGAAGCAAATGCAGGTCTGGGCTGGGGTAGAGCCCAGAAGTGTCTTGCAAGCGCCCCAGCCAGGCGAGGGCGCTGTGGGCCAGGGCAGAGCCTTCAGGGTCCCACTGGAGCCACCACGCCCCCAGCAGCCTGGCTTCCCACCAGCAGGGCTCTGCCCCGACAAGCTGCAAGATCTGGGCCAGTCTGCCTCCTGAGCTTCCGTCTCCTCACCTGTAAGATGGGGGTTTTCAGAGCCTTTGTGGCTACCGGGGGGGTGGGGTAGGGTGGGGTGAGTGGGTGGGTGGAATGATGGAGCTAAAAGGGCTTTGGGGCTGCACATCCAGTTCCTTCCTTCCTGCATGCCAGGCCCCTGCTAGTGCCAGCCCTGGGCGTGGGCCAGGGCGCAGACAGCGGTGGCTTTCCTCCCGCAAGGACTCACTCAAATCTAGTGCCAAGCCGTAACCCCACACTTGGAGAGGAGTGTTAACAGCCATCCCAACCGAGTACTCTGGGCCAGCCCCAAGAAGCAAGGGCGGGGCTGGAGGGGGCGCTTATTGCGGGGGGGCCGGGGTGCGAGGAGCACAGGGCCATGATAAGGCGCTGTGTCCCGGGTGCTCACCTAGAGCGATCTTACTCGATCCCACAAAAAGCTAGGCAAAACAGACGATCCCACCATCATTCCCTTTCACAGCCCGGGAAACCAAGGCTCCACGGGGCTAGAAAGGTCCCAGAGCCAGAACCGACACCAGGTTTGCCGGCCTCTGAGCCCTGTGTTTGTTTTCCTTCATCAGGACACGCACGAGGCAGAGGCTTGTCAGGATAAAAATGACCCTTGCCATCAGGTTCAAAGCTGAGGGGGGAGGAATTATTTGCTCGCTGGCTGCCTGCTGGGCCTCCTCCCAAGACAGACAGTCTCGTAAACAAGCAATTGGCCCGAAATCCTGGTGTGCCTGGTGATGGCGCGGACATGGGGACATGGACACAGCTGAGCGGGGGCTCAAATCTAATTAGGCTCCTGGGGGCGGCACTGTGAAGGTTAACCAGGCAGAGCCTGCCAGGGATGCAATGGGATCCTAAAAGACAGCCTCTCCTGCCCCGCCAGACTCACAGAATCGTGAATGTCGAGGGCACAGAACGTCTGATCTGCAGGTCTAGGAAGGTCCCATCTTGAGGGTCCCTGCCACAACCCTTTCCCCTGTCCCAGAACTCCCATGGGCCTGTTTCCATCAGAGAATCTTCAAAGAAGGAAGTGCCTTAGGGAAGGTGACCTCCAAATCTCTCTTTTCACAGCGGATGCTGAAGTCCAGAGGGGGACGGGGTCCTGCCCAAAGTCACACATCACAGCTGGAAGCAGA